GCTCAGCAACAACAGCATTTGTGTTACCTTTACAGCTGCTTCAAACCGCCTCAGGAAAACTTAGGTGAGTAGGCCCACAGGAATGACCAGCAGCCAGGTGCACCCTGCAGTCGCCCTCTTGCAACATTCCCTGTTAATGGGACATAAGATACAGCAATCTGTATTTTAACAGCTGTTTGATGAGCGTCTGTGGATACATTAACCCTGAGAGGTAGGAGATAGACATAGCTGTTTAGCAACCAGTTTAGGATGTGACAGCTAGATCCATACACACATCCATGTGCATGCATGCCCAAGAACTGATCTTCAGTACAAAATGAAGGCCACCAGGCATCTGATTTTTTTGGGGGGTAATGAAAAGGGAAACATTCTGAGCCCACTGGCCCCCACACTGCCAGACACAAGCCCAGCAGAGCCCCCACTGAGCAGGGTGCATGAACACACAGACACAGCCACACATGCACAGACACACTGCTGTTCAGCAGTGCCTGGCCAAGAGCTCAGCCACCCCAGTGCAGGTATGGGGTGAGATTGCTCTGCCATCATCTTCCTCACGCCTATTCCTCCCTCTTGCCTCTTGGAACAAGGCTTCCAGACAACTAAGTCTGAAAGCACAGCATGGCTGTGCCTTGGTCACACGGCCCAGCAGCCACCCTGCTCCTGAGCAGTGAGACAACAGCTTCTGGTGTATGGACATCAGCAGCACCCATTAAGCAGCTGTCAGGGTAAGATGCAGGTGGTGCCACACTACCCTACGCCCACACTGGCAAGCGTTCATTACAAATTGTGCAAAATTGCCTACAGAATTCTTCCCTGAGTGGAAGAATGAACAAAGCTTGGCTTTTCAGTAAGTTTGTGCCACATGGTTAGGAGCCCCGGTGTTCAGAAAGACATCGTCTTCAACTGTCCCATGGGGTGATGAAAGTTGATCTCCTGCCTACAGAAACCTGCTGGATTTTTTGTTTGTTTCTATTTGGGTGAGTTTTCACTGACATTCCTAAAATCCTTGTTTGTGTGTGTTCATATATATTCCCATTCTGGCAGCCAAAAAGTTGGTAGCTATCCAGTGAAGTTTCAATAAAAACATTAAGATAAAAACCCCCTCATTTTCTACTAAAGATCCCCTTTCCTCACAACTAGCTATGGCTTCTGTAGCAGCATTATACAGTGTTTTGGTCACATGCAGTAATTTCTCTGCTTTATAACAAAAAATGTTGGTGACACCTACTTTGTACAGGGAATGCGAGAACACAACCCAATCCCTTGCACCAATAGCCCTACACAAGGGCTGTGTTTTTATGTTTTAACTGGAGCATTTCATAAAACTGGTCTACATAACTATTACTTTATCAGCCTCTGAATTACTGTATTTCAGCCACTTTTGTCTCCATACTATCCCTGTTTTTCTTTCCATACCCTCAGGCCCCTTACTAGGGTTCAAATCCATAATGATTTTTCAAGCTTCATCCTCTGACATCTGCCATTACCTCTCTTACCTGGAGTTTCCATCACATTTGGACATCAGCTGAAAAAGAACTGGCGCATGCCACATGGGAGAGCAGAGACATGTGGCACTCCTCTAAACCTCTCTGCAGAGCAAGTACTGCTTGAGGGGAGAACTGGACCAAGTGAAGCTTATTTTTTCTAGTTTGCAAAGCCCATGAAGATACTTAGCAGGAGGAGGCTTGAGGGGGGGAGCTTTCCCTCTCCAAAGTGAATGCTTCTTGTCTCTGGGAAGAAAAAAAGATTAAAATCTCCCCACTTTTAGCATAGTTCTATATGAACAAGCAAGCATGCATCAAACAGTTACATATTCAGCAAGTCAAGGAGAAATAATGTAAATAAAGACAAAATACCTCGTTTTCAAGCTTCTCAGAAAAAACAACCATCAGATGACTTGTTACCACACTCCTGCAACAACACAGAACTAACAGAAAACAAACAGCAAAGTGTCCTGGCTTAGCCCCAGTTGGCAACTAAGCCACATGCTCACACCTCACCCCCAGTGGGATGGGGGAGCGGATGGGAAGGATAAAAGTGAGAAAACTCATAGCTTGGGATAAAGACCTTTTAATAAGTAAAGCAAAAGCTGCACATGCAAGAGAAGCAAAATAAGGAATTCCTTCACTGCGTCCCATCGGCAGGCAGGTGTTCTGCTGCTTGCTGTTGGGGTGAGAAGTGGAAAAGGCCTTGACTGTGTAAGCACTGCTTGGCCATAGCTAAAACGTCCCTGTGTTGTCAATGCCGTTTTCAGCACAAACCCAAAACACAGCCCCATACAATCTACGATGAAGAAAATTAACTCTACCTCAGCCAAAACCAGCACACAAAGGTAACTCCTTCCCCACGTTACTTAGCCAGGGATTTCAGTGGGAGGCTGAACTATATGCAGCTTCAAAACAACCTGTGTATGGAACTAGTAGTCCACAGTAGATAAATGACCAAACTTGGACGCACACTGGAAGTGCCCACCTGAACACTACAACTATGGCAGTGTTTTTGTTCAAGAGGTCAAAGAGCAACTGTCAGCCACATATGTCTAACTCCAGGCTGATTACGCCAGCTGGAGGCACAGACCAAGGCTTCCCAAATGGTGGACTCTGCTCTAGGTTGGGACTTTAAAGGTATCTTGCCTCAACCTCACCCTGCTCATCATGAGCTGGGGACATTGAAAGCTCACATTTTGCTGTTCTGCTCTCTTGGGAAGTAGGTCTCCGAGCTAAAGCACTATGTTCAGCTGAGCAGACATCACCAAAAATTGAGTGTAAGTTAGACAGATGGATAGCTTCGGTCTTTTGGGAATTCAGTAAGTCTTCTGCATAAACTGTATCCCTCATGAATCCACACTGAAAGCTTGGAAATGGATCCATTAAGATACACACAAATGTCTCTTACCAGATCAGTGAAGGAAGCATGGCATTAAACCACTACCTACTCTCTAGAGAACTTCCTTCCTTCAGCACAGCCCAGAATACATAAAGCACTCCTTTAAAGAAACACTCCTGTTCCTTACTGGGACATGAAACTGAAAAAGCTACACACGAACTTCAGCTGACATTGATGTGAAGCAGCATTTGAGGATCCAGTCCACATACACTGAAATGTGTAAGTAAAATTGCTGTTGCTCGTGCGGAAACATGAAGGTTTTTACTGTGAGGTGACTGAGCACCGGCACAGGCTGCCCAGAGGTGGTGGAGTGTCCCTCCTTGGAGACGTTCAAAAGCCACATGGACATGGTCCTGGGCAGCCCTGCTTGAGCAGGGGGTTGGTCGGACCAGGTGGCCTCCAGAGGTCCCTGTCAACCTCAACCCTTATATGATTCTGTGAAAGCAGATCTGTCTCTCATCTGTGCAGCTCCAGGGCCTGCCTATTGATGGACAAAGGTTTTTTTAAATTAAAAACTAAAAAAAAGTTTGAAGCCTTCAGCCAAATAGTGACTGAAGGAACACCCACTGGCAAGTCGGGAAGCAATAACACTACCTGGCACTTCTTATCCTGATTCAGTGCATCTCTCTTCACAGAATATGAGTTATTGATTCCCTTTCAGGGCTGAAACCGCTAAACGCCTTTGGTGTTATCGTGCTGTTTTTTTTAAAGACTAAGTAATCTGGAGTGTAAAGGCCTGAGTAATGCATACGTAACTTTGGGGGTTTTGTGAATAAGCTGTGCAGCCTGAGGTAAAAAATGTTCAGATGGGTAATCTCTCAGACTGTGCCCACGGCCACTATTTGAAAAACGTGTGCACTGCAGGTTACAGAATGCAGCTCTGTTATTCACAACATGTACGTGCTCCTTCCTGTCCATGCTACCCCGCTCTCATGACTACGCTAGGAAAACAAGCTGCTATCCAAAGTGAACTCAAGGGATTACACTACCGCACAGACACAGCAACAGCTTTCCAAGCAGACACCAAAATGCTTTCGGCTCAACTGGCACAGGAATTTCAGGAACACTCAGAGCAGCATCTCAGGATCCAGCACAGCGCTCACCCTGGATTTAGGTGTAACCTGAACTGAGTTCCAAGCTTCCCCAGCTAACGTGTTGGAAGGTAAACCTGACCTAGTTTAAAAGTGCAAGCTAAACACACTCTT